AGTTATACGAGAGTACAAGGTTTTATTTTGTGGAGTTGCTGGTCTGAAAAAATACGAGTCTCGAGACGGACTGCAGCAAGGGCTCAGTTCTGGTTTTCACCGTGTCCTTCATTCAAATCACTGACTCGCCATTGATGGGAGCTGGCATCACTGTAATTTCCCGTCGCAATAGCGATTTTGACTGACAGCAACACCCACCTGCTACATGCGGTATCCCGTACGAAATGTGCCTTGGCTAGCTGCTTCTGGAACAATTGTACCTTCCTTCTGATCTTTCTGAATGATTCCATTGCGATCGCCGTGATGTGTTGTCGGTGCCGTCAACTTTAGCGCCGCCCTGTCTCTGTTCAAATTTCTGTTCTTTCAGTCCATGTTCTGGATATTCATCATGAGTTCTCTCTCTCCCATGCCATAGTAGAGCAATTTTGATGCTAATGATGCAGATTCAAAGTCACGTTAAACCACAGCTATGTACCACATAAAATAAGATCGTGGCCTTCGAATTAATTATTATTTTAATAAGGTAAATCAACAGTAAGCTTTTCTGAGCACAAAAATTGTCGTTCGCTCAAATACTAATAAAATCAATACCAGATTATTGGCTAGTGATAAAACGGGCGACAAAAACCTACGGAGGTGCATACATACTTAGCGAGTTCCGCAATGAGTCAACAGATTGACGACAGCCCGTACGTGAGCTTCGGCGAGTTTTTCAAATATTTTTTAAATCATCAATGCCTCTTCAACAGTTCCGCTACAAATAATGGGTGCGATATATTTTGTATCAGATATGTAGATGGTTGTCTTTGAAATATGAAAAATACTAAATAAATCGAGCAGAACGAGGCTCATTCCTCCGAAAATCTGACGCGCATGCGCGTCATGCTGTCGTCAATGTTAGAGAAGCGCTACTCTAAAACCTCATTTCGTGCTCAAAAACCTGCAGGGCTTCAGAATTTTATTCTTTTGCACAGAACATAAAAGAATTCCCTTGAAATAGAAAACTGAGAAATTTGTGAGGTTTAGACTAGAACTGAACTTTTAAAGTCTCACAATGTCTTAGAACATTTGCACAGATTTCTGTCAGAAGTTCATCTGTGTGACAAGTAAAAGTAATACAAATAAAAATAAAAGTGAAATAAAAAATGAGGAAGTAATAAAATGAAAAATAATAAAAAATGTATAATAAAAACAACAAAAGTAAAAATGGTAGTAAATAAGTTTTGGATGGCAGTAAATTAGTTGGAAGGTAGCGGATGTGGCGGGGGTTACAGGGTGTAATTTCCTTCTGTTTGGTTAACGTTCTGACCATTTGATGACGCTTTAGAAAAAGTTACATAATTAATTGATCTGCTTAGCATTATAAAAAATCGAGCACCTATGGAACTGGCGAACATAAGGCAAGAACGTGATGTGAAGAGCAGACATTGTGAATGGGTGGTCGCAGTAGAAAAACAAGTTAATAGATGAGTGGATCGCACTGGCAGTAATTTTCTGAGCGTATGCTTGCGTTTGTTTCTTCTTTTCTTTCTTCCTTCTTCTTTCTTCTTTTTCTTTCTTCTTTCTTTCTTCTTTCTTTCTTCTTCTTTCTTTCTTTCTTCTTCTTCTTCTTTCTTCTTTCTTTCTTCTTCTTTCTTTCTTTCTTTCTTCTTTCTTTCTCTTCTTTCTTCTTCTCCTTTCTTCTTGCCGCTGAATTTTTCATCTCTAGCAGAAGCTCAAAAAGTTTCTATATTTTGTCGCTGCAAAAAAAACGTGATTGGAAGCTCTATTTTAGAGAGCTGGGCGATAGGAATGTTGTTAACCCCATGGCGCCCTCTTGAACACCTGGCAGGCCCAGCATAGAGCGAACGCAACCAAATTAACTTCAAAGCGGAATTTCCAATTCGTACTGCCCTGACTATAATCCCCCCAAAAAGCCAACTAGCGATTCAATGAATTCTTGTTCCCAGCAACCGAACAATATAGAGCAGTTATATCTTAGCAAAGGGCATCGCGTAGCAAGTGCAGGCCAGTAATCTGGTTCCAAATATGCCGAAGACAAGTGGCTTGTCACGTCTGCAAGTGATTGTATAGGGGCAATTAATCAAAAATGTCTGCGAACGCGTCGTCTATTTGTTCTTGCAGTAGCAAGAGTCTGAGGACCAATCAAACTTCCAAGAGAACAGGAATACAAAGCAGGAGCACGGCCAGACCGGTGAATAGCAAAGAGCAGCGCGCAGGGAGACCCAGGAACTGTAGCGATGTTGCACGGTTGCGAGTTCTGCCCATGGTCCCCTTTTCACCTCCTCCAACCTCGAACTGACGGTGTTCTGAGGTTTTGGGCTCAATAACCTCATTTGCAGGGACACTGGTACAATAGCCTAGAGGCAAAGCGTGCCTTTAATATGCGGGGCCTAGATTCAAATATTTCTGTGTGTTCCTTTCACCCTGCGGCTGCTTGGGACCTGCGCATGTGAAAAGAAGAAGAGTCTACTATTGACTGATTATTCCTGTGGAATTCACTAGACCCTTGTTAATCTTCGTCTTCTGCACTCATAGCGATATTTTAGTTTTTTAAGTTGATTTTTCTTGCTATGTTTCTTTACACACAACCCTTTTATCCGTTGCCCTCTAACGATACCTACGTACGAGGGGCGGATGCATTTAATCATAGATTTAGGGCAACCCTAGCCCTATTGTTGTTCTTCACAAACGAAGCCTTTTGTTCGTTTCTCCCACAAAGGTCGCCGTTTGAACATCTGCTCGTTTCAGGAACTGAAAAAAAGCATTACCCTAAACCCGAAACAGGGACAATGGATAGGACAGCGCTCGAACGTAATTCATTTCACCGCTATTGCGAATTTTCTGCAATGTGATGTGCTACAGATCAATTCGTATGCTTCACACGGAGCCAGTTCCTCCGATTTCATCGGAACCTTTTATCATCGGGAACTCAACTTCATTACGAATGGGTTTCTTCTGACTAAGTTTGTCTTCTGTGCTTCACGGAATATATAGTTAGTAAATAGCAAGTTTTCTAGAAATTATAGAGTGTTCTATTTTTTCCTTGGTACCAAGCTATTCTCTTACCAACTGCCGATGCGCAGATGGCTGGCTGTCCGGGGTTTGGTTCGACCCATTGCTTACTTAAAGGAGGATTCACGATTAGAATGAAGGTCGAAGGAAGAAGTAATTGACCTAGTTGAGGGACCCACGGACCTCCTGAGGGTGCGAACTGACGCGCAATTCGCATGGAAAAATTTGACCTCGGCGACCTATCATGCCTCAAAGCTGGCGGGTCCGGCGATCTCCGCCCACCGATCATCTGATCACTCGCCGCAGTTCAATACGTGGCGAGTGATTAGATAGCTGAGAGAGCGTAGTGTTGAAGAGGGCACAGCGATGAGAGTCGCATCAATGCTCAAATCAACGGGCAAGGAAGGGGTCCCATTTCTCGGGTTCTGGGCCGTTTCTCATGGTTCTTCCTTCTTTCGTGTACCACTCACCATCCCTAGGTTAATTTGAAATGGGTTGCTTTTTCATCGTGAATTCGTCCTTTAAGTGGATTTTGGCGCTTCTTGTCGCTAAGACAACTTCGCCTAATTTCCTAATTGTATCTTATATTGTCGTCGTCGTTATGCATTGCCTTCCATATATATCGTAAAATCCTGGAAAGATTAACATTTATTCCATTGAAAAGGGAGAAATAAGGAGAATTTCTTCTTGTTCTTCTCCTTTTCTTGGCTCCAGCGCGCCATTACGTGGTCCCGCTGCCAAAATCCGATCCACTTTCCCTCGTGAACCTTTGTAGCTAAACTAGCGCTGTAGCTGATGCATGTGTTTGATGTACCTCCTAAACCACTCAGCTAAACGCAAACCTTCAACTGGTCAAAGGGTCCCACCTCAAGGGCAGGGGGGGCGACCCGACTATTAGTTGTCAACTTAAGGGAAATCTTTCCACTGTAAAGGGGAAGCCAATTCCTAAAGCTCTGAGAATGACCCACCCGTGGCGAAAGGTGGGCCGTAGCGTCCTGACAGAGCCTTGTTTGCAGTGACCGCCGGTTTTGTTAAAAAACTCCGTTCAAAGCGCGGACGTAAGGAGGTAATCGGAGGGTTTATTAGTTGATCGATTCGTAAATCGTGCGATTGGGCGATTTAGGCGATGAAGGCAATCAAGTCTATAAATGTATAGCCTTAGCAGTTATGCGATCGCTTAATGTGGCGGCAACAATATTCAAGTCCTTTATTCACTGCTTGGCATCGTTACTCGCAGCTATTGCCTAATCCCTTATCGTACGCTTACTTTTTATTTTGAAGCATCGCCTAATCGCCTAATCGTACGTACGATCGCCAACTATGAACGCTTCATATGGGAAGCGGACTGGATGCTGATATTGTTATCACCATCGTTCGCTCTTCATTTTGAAGATCATTCCAGTGCAAGCGGCCGTATCTTTTAGTTTATATATGTAATGTGCTATCAATCAAAGCACAGTGTTTGTTGGCGTCTTGTCAAATGTCGAAGGAAATACGTCCAAATGGCCTCTTACATGGTCGGCTCGTATATCCCCAGATTAAGTAGAGAGTTAGTGCCTTATCACGTGAGTTTTGGGAATTTTCCTTTGATTTTCAATTTTTCGATCCATCTTTTATTTATTTCAATTTCTATTAATGACCAAATTTTTATACCATCTGGCTTTGGGAAGTAGTAACAGATATGCACATGACTTAGCCTCCCGGTCCATTTTTGTTCAAGGGGTGCAAAGTAATGCGATATTCCCCGTAACTGGCTGCTCCAAACCGAGCACTCACAGCGAAACTGACCAATGACTCCATGGAAAACAACAAAACTCATCTTCCAACGAACATTAAATAGGACATGGGACTTGCGTTCTCACACAAACTCCTTAGAGGTCTAAGATTCGGATCGTATCCGAAGGGAATTGGCCGTTCTTAATCCTCCCTCAAATCTCAGATGAAAACAATCGTTTGACGTCCTCCCGGTACCATTCGCACCGTCTAGCACCTATCAGCTGAATTGAACAACTGGAACAGCTGAAGTTTTATAAGATGCCTTGGAACTCCCTTCGGAATTCGCTCACTTTGATCAAATGATAACGTTGGCTCGTTTTCCTTCTGCCACAAACTCGCCACTGAGCTCAAGGTGCGCTCAGGGGCCGGATTCAATTCTTTCCCGGCTAGGGGAATGAGAAATCCCTTCAAATTCGTGTTTTTGACCGATATACTTTCTTTACTTTCGATACATGTTTACTTTTATACCCACACATACGGCACAACTATGCCCCTTTTTTTCGGGCACGGACAGAGAAAGCAAAAAAAAACTTCAAAGGAATTTCCGTTCACCTATCTCTGGGGAAGGACTGAATACAGCCCCAGGTTAGGCAACAGCGACCGTGATGAAAATTTTGTCGGTGGCCCGGCCTTTTCAGGCACTTGGGACGTGCCCTCATTGGAATCCTGAGGTTTACAGCAGGTTTAATTGTTGTGCGGCTCCATTCAACATTTTCCTCAGTTTATTCGACTTTTCCTTGTTTGTACATACTTTGTCGATTTCAAAGAAAGGGCCCGTGGGTTCCAAAAAAACTAGGAGCCGCTCAATGAGTGTCTATGGTGTCGCCCCGGCCACGTTGCGTAAGGTTGCTCTTATCCTTATCGCATCCTTTCCATCGTCATTACCGCGCCATCGATTTCTTCGGCATTTTTGTTTTCGATGGTCCCGTGATCGCTGCAAATGCTGTGGAAATAGGACTGAACTCTTCAGTTCCGTCATTACGATTCTGTCCGCCTAGACCGCTTTTCTTATCAGGTTGTTCAATAAGTTCTGCTACTTTTGGAAAAAAAAACTGAGAAGAAATCAAATTTTTTTCCTTTGATTTGGCATTTGGTTGATGTAATGTGTCTTCGTAGGCCAGTAGGTGTGTAGAAGATTTCGTACGACGTCTTACAGCTCCAAATTGATCTCCGAATCAAAACATACTTTTTTCTTGCTGTTTTTTAGGACAAGTTCGTATGACCTCTCACATAGTCTCTTGCTGGCTCTTTCATTTTCATCTTTCTAATATCTTGTACGGTTTCGAAGTGGATGTGGCTCCTCAAACCCTAGCAAACAAATCCGGAGTTTTTTCCGAAATATCGAAATAGGGCGGAAGTGGTGTAGTGGCAAGTGGCACGCTTACCACGCGAGCGGTCCGGGGATCAAATCCTGGGTCGTGAGTCGCCCGGGCCAACCAAGCCTTCCATCCCTCCGGGGTCGGTTAATTGGTACCAGACTTGTCTGGGAGGATAAAAACACTGACTTGTACATCGGCTGGCCCCCGCAAGTCATTGTATAGGCCACATCGCATTCAAACGCCACTACGAATGTACAAATGGAAGTAGAATGCGTGCCGCATCCCAAAAAGGGATTGATCAACGGCAAATGCTTTATCCTTTTATACTTTATAATCTATGTTAACTTAGTTGAAAGATCTTATTGTGCCAAGCTTTTCGAAGCCGTACATGTGAATTTCACACGAAGATTGGAGCTGGCATTGGTCATGATTTCATAAAAAAAAATTAGGTCTCAAATGAGAAACTTTGTGGATCTGCTTTGAAAAAAGTGCACAGGCAAAGTCGATGAAGAGTGGGGGGCGTTTGATTGACTAGATGGATCATGCTTCTACTGCTTGCATTGATTTTGAGGAAGGAGCTCACCATTGTATGGAATATTTTAGCTTGAAGAAAGTTCTGCAACTCTTTCTGATATTTTTCTTTTCCACGAAAATTTGTAGCTAAATTATAATAAAAATTATGATTTAAGCATTGTTTCGAGGTTCAATCATGGCGGTGGCATATAAGGGCTGAATCAGTAGTTAAAAGAAATTCAAAAAAAAACCGATCGACCACTCCTGTGCTCCAGAGCGCAAGTATCAAGAGATCCATGGTGCTCGTTGCAGCAGCTGTCCCTTGGGGATGGTGTAAAGGGTGGGACGGAAGCATGATGGTGAGGAAGGGTTGTGTGGGCAGAAGTTGATTGGTGTATAGAAATGATGAAGGGGTGATATGTCATCTGGACTCCGACGCCTGCCCACTTGCAAGTATCTCCTCAACTTACAGATTTCGTGTCGTTACGACCAACCTGTCTTTGCAATTAGCTTTTCAATAGGCGTGTACCGCTACAGCATGTTTACATTTACCGGCGCTTTCGATCTTTTGATTTTGCACAAAGAGGCAGAAGGCCTTTCGTTTACCCCTACAGGGTGTAGAACACTTTAAGGAAGCTCAAACTACAAATTTCTTCTTTATGGATACACTGTGTAGGTAGAGGTCTAGGCTACAGAACTTCCAGAAGCTGGCCGAGGCAGCTCGTCAAGAGCCCTCGTACCGCGACAATATTTATTTCTTTCATGACATTACGAATCACCATGATCCGAAATGAGCCCGGTAAGAAATTCTGGAGTTGCGGCAAGATTTTTTCCTCTCTTAGCGTAATCCCCTGGGTCGAGCTGTGAATTAAGTGCTACCTATCCTGGACTTAATCAACGAAATAATCAGACGATCAACTCCAACTCGAAAGTGAGGTCGCCTCCTTTCTTGACCCGCACTCCGCTGGGTTTTGGAAAAGGAGCATCAAGAAATTTTCTGAGCGTTGGAAGACAAGTGGTGGACACTCATGGTAGATATTGACCGGTCAGGAGTTGTAAACAAAAAAGATAAAATTGAAATCAAATTTGAAAAAGTGTTTGCAGGAATTTTTTCGAAGTTATTACGATTTTGATAGAGAAAAACGCTCATTCTTTGATAAAACATGCACACCGCTGTGTGCACATGCAGCAATGAAGGTGTCGTACGAGCCACGCTGGTAGGAGACCCATCCCTTGGAGAGCTAAATGAAGGTGACCCAAAACAAAATCTGAAAATTCGTTCAGCACCGTAGTGATCAATTCTGCATCGCTCCTATGCTACTTCGTACTTGTCAGTCCTTTCCTCGATCCGATTTTCAATCGCTCTTCGAATATTTCTCCTGAGACCGCGTTCATGGTTCGCGACTCCGGACAATAGGATATTACGCTACTGAGACAGGACAGATTAGTATTGCGATCGTATATAGTAGTAGATTTGGATGAAGCAAAGTGGTGTTAGTTCAATTTTAAAGTAGATACGTATCGATTAGAATCGATGGAGAGTAGTAAGCTACGACATTCGGATAGTAGTAGATGAGGACATTAGGATAATAAAATTGTAGTAGAACAGGATTGTGCACTCAGAAGATTAGATACGTATCGATCAATTTGCCTGAAGTCGCCAAATCTGCCACACTCCAGCGATTCTACTCGATACTTATCTAATCTTCTCAGCGAAATATCCTACTCTACTACAAGCTCAATCTCCCAAGTCGCGAACTATGGACGAGGCGAATCTGACTGCTCAGGAGTATTTCATTCTCACATTATTATTTCTTTTCCTCGTCGTCCTTCATTTCTCTTTTCAATTATGGTTCTACTTTTCTATTTACAGTTCAATGCGATGAAGACGGTAAAACTCAAACGGGCGGCGATTCTTGCCAGTGGCGCCGTAATTTTCATCCTACTGTGCGTTATCACCTCTTTGCCCGCTTCCGAGAATCAACGCCCCGCAAGGGCGATTAGACCAGGAAGGCTATTACCGGTAAGTTGATAAAACAGTTTCAACTAACCGCTGAGAGCAAAAGTTGGTTATTTTGGCGCTCTCTCTATCACCTTTCGTGATCGAGAGCTAGTCACTGGAAGGTAAAAGTAGCTCCCCTTCAAAAGGCGAGAAAGTGTCGGGTGCAGACCAAACACCACAACTGACGACGGCCTCCAAGTAAATCTGGTTAGAAGTTGTTCATAGTGATAGCTGATTTCTGGTAAATGATAGTTGTAATTAGTGACATTCGATAGAAGTACAACTGCAACAGGCTACACTTCATGCGCAGGAAACATTTTTTGTTAGGCCGTCGTCACTTGTGGTGTATGGTCTGCCACCCGGCAATTTCTCGCTTTTTGAAGGGGGGGGGGTTGTCAATTGGTAGAGGTGGTTTAAAGGACAAGCGGCGTCACGAGTCTAGGAACAAATCCCGCATGGCAGCCCACCCAGCACAGTACTCCATCCCTCCGTGCAGTCTTTAAGTTTTTCCAGAACTACTAGGCCCATAAAAGTTCAACTTTGTACATCGGCTAGATTTCACAGTCCTTATCGTATCAAACGCTTCCACGGTACCGAAAGGAATTGGACTGCGTGGTGCATCCCAGGGATTGATCAAGGACATCATTACCTTGGTCACAATGGTTGCATAGGATGCTTCATTTTTCAAAGGGGAGGGGAGCGTGGGGTGGAGGGGCTCTAGAATCCCTCCAAAAATGGTTGACTGAAAGGGCTAAAGGGTAATGGATAAGGTATTGTTCAGAGTTATGATGAAGGCGATCAAGCGATCAGGCTAGACAGAAAAAAATACTTATTGATCAAGCGATTGGTGAGTAGGCGATTAGACGATCGCTCAGAATCAAATCAATACGTATTTAATCTCAATCGCTACTCGCCCTTTCGGTTAATGACATGTGTGCTTCCTTCCCTTCTAGCCTAATCGCCTAATCGCCAAATCGCCCAATCGCCTGTTCGCGTGTGCGATCTCGAACCATGGAGTTCGCCCAAATAAATCACAACGTACTCAATGACTACAGTATGCTTTAGCTCTCATATTTCTAGGTGGACACAACCGGCCAACTGCCTGAGCTTTGACATCGAGAAATGAGCGGGGATGGTGCAAACCCTATAATCTTCAGAATTATCATCAAAATGTTTCCTAATAGCTAGGGTGGCAAACTTTTCCAAAAACTCAATATTAAGGAGGTGGCATACTTTCAAGTCTCCCATATTGGCTGTGAAGGTCCAACCAAATTGGGAGGGAAATTGTCGTCAATTTACCTCGACTGCTTCATTTGACGAAGGGCAGGGATTAAAACGAAAAAATCAACTCCTATCGAGTATAGAATGTAGCAGTTTGGAGGCACCTATCTTCGCAAACCGTTGCTCCCTTTTGAAGCAACTCCTTGCAGGGGTTCCTAAAAAGCGAGGGCGCTATTGTAGTTTGTTGGCATCCCCTTGGACTGATTGTGAGCCTAGGAAGGACAGAACTTCGGAGAAAATGAAATTCGCTTTCGAACCCTGAAGACTTTCCTCTCCTGCCTAAGGCTTAGTCCCAATTTCAACAAGAAGGAGATGTTTCTCGCGGTTTATGATGCATTGTAATCACAATGCCCTCTATCTTGCGATAGCGCTGAAATGAGTCCATCGGTGAAGCTTTACATCTAGCAGTTGCGCTTATTAACATTAACATTAACATCCTCGTGAGTTGTAAGCTACCACACTGCCAGTTTTGAGGGTACGGACTACACTTACAGTATCCAGTGCTTACCAAAGGCAGCGGCCCATTTTTGCAGATTGAATGCATAATCAGCTAAAATACTGGTACTGCAGCTCCTGATAATAACTGAGTGGCTATCAACATCCGTTCAGATTGTACCCAAAAAGAAGGTCAATGGACAGTCTCCGAATCCACAGCGACAACATGAACAGTACGTGTACGTGGATGATCTCCAAGCAGCCACTGAGAATGATCAAAACGGTATGCAAATTCACAAAGCTTTCTTGCGTTTGCCTTTTGCAACGTAGTAAATATACGTGCATGCTGGGGCTCACTGTGAAGCTGTTACTTCAAAACTGCGCATGAGTAGAATCAGCCCACTTCAGAGGGAAAGTGGTCTTTTGCCGGGCACTACCGGTCCGTGCAGAACAGATGCCAGCTAAAGTTCTATAGGAAGGGAAGAACCTATTCCGCGCCACCTGAGGGCTATACCTTCTCTGGACTAATGAGGTAGGCTCGCATGGACGACCGCAGTGCGCTGCAGCACGACCGCAACTACTCTACGGGTTGCACAACACAGGCCAGCTGGTGATAAGACCACCTCACATATCCAAGCTACCCACGCCTGGACAGCTTGCATGTGTGAGGTGAAGAGCTAAAGCTGACTGACCCCCTGAAGCAAAAACCACGCTCCTTTCAACACCTGGCTCTTCAGCCATTTCCGCCGCATACAGGATTGAGAGACGTTCAAAGAGAAGAGTAAGAGTATGAAGTGAAGAAGGTAGTCAACAATTTTTTTCACGTTCCTCCTTCCCCACCTCCATCTTGTGGGAGCAGGGAACCCACGAGCTTTCTGGGCAGTTGCAGTCAGTAATGAACAGTGGAAATGGAGTTGGAGGGGTCCACTGAATTCTATTCTGCGGTTTTAATGGTAAGGATCACGATAAGGGCGCTCATAACGCTAATGGAAAGAGCTTTGATGACGGTTCCATTCAAAGAAGCTTTCTAATAGGGAGCGACTGAATCACCCTGGCATGGCGCGGAGAAGCGACCATGAGTCAAGAGCCAAAATTTTTACCTAGGCCTAGGAGGAGAGGGGAGAGGGACGTGCTCCATAGTCTCTGAAAATACAATCAGATTGGTTGTCGATGATTACGGCTTTTTCTGGCTCTTATCAAAAAGTTACTTTGAACGAGCGTCTTATCAAAGTTGCTATGCTTACCACTAGAGATTACCTCAGCCTTATCTCAATCTTTATCGTTGAAGCCACAGAGCGGAATCGAATGCCCACCTCCAGCTCCATTCTCACCGTAATGAAAATTACTTCTAAACTCGACGTCGGCCCCCGTTTTAAGAAATATACGGCATTTTTGTGGCAATTAACGGCATTCTGCAAACGAGTAAACGGCAACCATCAAGAATTAAGGGTACCAAGTTGGTATACAAAAAAGCGATCTAGGGGCGGATTTTCCCGAATGAGAAACAAATAGCAATTGTGGACAATTTCGGTGACGACCTGATGACATGGTTGCGAAGCTCAGACCACTATTGAATGCCTTTACCAGCACATCGAAGTGGAGTCTGAACGTCTGCTATTCGAGCTTTGGTATGAAATGTATTTCAGAACGGCGGAAAAATAAAGTTGTCGAGATGATGTTGCATGCGTGGAATGGCTACAAGAACTATACGTGGGGAGCAAATGAAGTAGGAGCAATTTTTGCAATTTCCCAAAATATCATATTTCTAAGAACAATTCTGACAATAAAATTTCAGATTCGACCACTAACAAAGGCGGCGCACACACAGGCCATATTTGGAGGAGCATCGATGCCGGCGACCATCGTTGACGCTGCTGATACGCTTTGGATCATGGACTTGAAGGAGGAATACAAAGAGGTCCTTAATTGAAGGAAGAGAATTCGATAGATTGAAC